TGGTGGTGGTCTCCGTCGAAGCCCGTAAGAAGCTTATGCGGTGCTCCAGAGAAGAGCTTGTGAGGGGCATTGTGCTCGCCCCGCGGGAGCCACGAAGAGCAACTCTAGTAGAGCGAGACGCGAAGGGCGACAAGTGGTCCAGCCGGGTCAAGTGCTAGAGATTATGGTAAGCACTCCACGTGGGAGAGTGTGACTTGCGGGTCACCACTAGCAAGAGGACCGGCGGCAACCTTGGAGCTTGTCTCAACGGGGACGTAGCGTGTTGGCAAGCACATGAACCACGGGAGAAAAATCATCGTGTCAACATTGTTCTTCCCGTTGTTTTGCAATCCCCTTACACAAGCTTGTAATTACTTTCATATACATTGCACTTGTGTAGTTGCTCTTGTAATTAGTTAGTTTGTGTAGCTCACTAGTTACCTTCTTGCTTGTGTAGCATGGAAGTAGCTCCCTTGCGTGGCTAATTTGGTTTGTGTAGCCTTATTAGTCACATTGCTTAGTTTGTGTAGCTAAGTATTTACGCTCTCTAATTTGGCATTGGTTGCCTTGTTATTGAGCATTGCTAGTGAGCTTAGGTGGCTTTGTGCTTTGACTTACTAGCATGTGTAGGAGCTCCCTCGTTGCTTGAAGTACTAGTGGCATAGGCTTGTGTGACCTTACTACTAGAATTAGTTAGGTGAACTCTAGCTAGCCCGGCACCTTAGTTGCTTAATTAGGATCTTTGCAAGGTGCTAGAGAACGTAGATAGAGGGGTGTAGTCTTAGCTAGACCGATAGTTTTAATTCCGCACTTGTTTCGGTTAGCCGACGCGATTAATTTTAGAAAGGACTATTCACCATCCCTCTAGTCCGCCATCTCGACCTTACACATACGACCGCCCTCCTCCTTCCTAAATCCATTTACTAATCATCTTGTTCATGCACTAGGCGCAGAAGCACATCTCACCAAGCTGCATGGCCCTATAGCCCTAGGCCCACACCTCCTCTCATGAACACACATCACTATTGCCGGCCTTGCCTCTGCCTCTCCCTCTCTAGCTCTAGGCCGTGAGGCCCAACACGAGCACACCCGAGCCCAAGTTTCCCTCAGCTCATCACGTCTAGGGCACGTGTGAGGATGTAGACATCTGCCTGTCGGACCCACCTGCCAGCCAAGGAACGGATGGGGATCCACAACTCCCATCTCATGCTTGACGCCTTGCACTCTCCCCGTCTCGTGCGCTGCACGCAAGGCACGAAGCGCCATCCACGAGACCCACAAGCCGGCCGAAGATGCCGCACCTCTGTTTCTCCTCCCGTCACCCCTCCGTCAACATAGCATCGTCGTCTTCCCCCACCTGCTCCTTTCCGTCTCGTCTCCTTTGCTTTTCCGTCCGGTCATGAGTAGTTTCACCCCACTAGTCTTCTCTTGTGCTTTGCTTTTCTTCCCCGAAGCTAAGGTATGGCTTGAGGCCGATTAGACGAGGGACGCGCAGAGGCCGCCTCGTCGACTAGACTGAGAGATTGAGGGTGTTGTGAGGGATGATGAGTGATGACTAGTGATGATGATGAGTGGATGGTGAGAATGAGATTGTGGATTGGGTTTAGAGAAGATTATTTATACACTATTTTTATGCTACTTCGCAAGCTCTAACGATGCAAACCATAGCCAAACTATTATGATCGCCAGATCCTTTTTTTTCTATTTTTCACTAAAGCTCATCGGTGCTGACCATGGCCTGCACACACATGGTGCGGTGTGCAGATTTCTTGACTTGCAGGTGATGTTGAGATTGGTAGTTGGTTTCGTTCTACACTCAAGGATGCCTCTAGATAGGAGATCGCCAAGCTTCGCTTCCACGATAGAATAACGGTGTTTTGATTGTTGTTAGTTATATTCAAATTATTGTAATTTATTTATTTGTGCACTATGATGTTGTATGACTCTATAATCCGCCGTAATTTCGATGCCCGTGATAGCCGAGATATCCTAGGACTATCATAGAGGGGCAAAAAGGTCAGAATTTCTATTTTGAAAATCCTGGTTTGTTACATTATGTGTACTAATTAGACACATAACTCTATACAATAAGTTAATAAAATAAGTTAGGTAGCATACACATAAAAATACAAGTTAGGTACATAACTCTATACAATAAGTTAATCAAATAACTTAAGTAGCATACATGTGAAAACACAAGTTAGATACATAACTCTGTACAATAAGTTAATCAAATAAGTTAGGTAACTTACACATGAAAAACACAAGTTAGATACATAAATCTATATAATAAGTTATTCAACTAAGTTGGCTAGCAAGAAAATCATACTAGGTGTGCCTTGCTGATCCAGAATTTGAAAGTTTTATACCCTAACAAGTTATGAAAACACAAGTTATGAAAACACAACTTATACCAAAACTTAGAAACACAAAAGTTATAAAACACAACTTATGTACAAAAAGTTATCAAACATAACTTGTGTGCATAAATTATTCTATATAACTTGTCTACATAAGTTATTCTATATGCAACTTAGATGTACAAATTAATATCATAACATATTAGCAGATATGTTGGTAGCATACATAAAAGGAAAATTGATAAACTACTATAAAAGGCAAAAGGAGAAAAAAATAAAAAATAGCAATGTAATACATTATTAATTAATTAATACAAGAAACATTCACGTATGACTTATGTGCATAACGTTTTATAAAACAATTTATCATCACAACTTATATGCACAGCTTATACACATAACTTATACCCACAACTTATATACATAACTTTTTACGTGACAAATTATCATCACAACTTGTTATTATTACTTTTGTAGATTTGTGGTCATAAGATTCAATTAAATAGGAAGAAGAGAAAAAGTGAAAGAAGAGATAAAAATGGTGAAAAAGGAAATAAATTGGTTAATGTATAAAAAATAAAAAAGAAAAAGAAAAAAGTAGAAAATAAAAAAGATAAAGATGGACGCACCTACGGCAGCGCGCGTGGCAAGGGACAGACGTGACACACCTGTGGCAGCAAGCGTTTGACTTGAATAGTGTGAGGGACCAATAGTGTGATGCAACTGCGGCAGCGTGTCCGACTCGGGATCGTTCGCTCAAATGAAAAGGAGTGAACGCTCGCGCGATTGGAATTGGGGTATTGGAACGGAGGGCATATTGATCTTTTTGTGTAATGGCTAGAGGGGAAAAACTTGATGCCATATAGTCAAACAAAAAATGGTTTCTATGTAATGGCTCTCTGGGGCCGTTTGGCCAGGCTCCTACTTGCTCCAGGAGCCAGAGCTGAGGAGCCTCCTTGTGTTTCAGTGAGAGAGAGAGAGGAGATGAGAGAGTAAAATAGATTTTGTGGACAGTGTTGCTACAATTCATGTGTCAGACGGAGCTGGAGTCCGCGGAATCCATATCAAAGGGGCTCTTTCGGTGGAAGTGAGGATGCTTACACCAATCGTCTTGGTTTGGTGGTTAGAATAGAACATGGAGTTGTTTCTCTTCCCCTATGCTGGATTTGGGTCATGTTGACATTAAGAAACAAGCCATAGAAGGAGGATTACTTAAGCTGCACTTTAAAGATCTTGAATTTATTCTTTTTCTTCAGTTTGGTGTTTTCTTTGGTGTGTCTTTAGCTGCATGCATGTTTCATTGTTGAGTGTGATGTTGCAGCTCCTATTGACACCATTTGACGCTGATTTGAGCAATTACGATATGCAAAATGTTGCATATACATATGGTTAGGTGTCTAGGTGCTGATTTGTAATATTCTTTAACTTTGAGGGTCCTTTTGGTAGGTGAGCAAACCAATTCAAATAGGGAGCCCGAGCTCCCCTTCTTAGGTGGTGCTTGTTCTTCCCCTTTGGGGGTGAGAGAGGGAGAGAGAAGATTTGAGGGGTGGGGTTTTGATCTACCAAATTCATCCACTAGAGATTGAAATCGGCGGAGATTTGGAGCCCCCCCCCCCCAAACCTTGTTGGCTCCCACCTCTAGTATCTTCATTCTCATAGTGGATTGCTTCCACGTAAATCTTGGTGTCTACACTTGATTTGCTATTTATCTTGCCATACATGTTGCTGCTCACTATTTTGCTTGCTATTGGTGCTATTTCGTTCATGGTGTATTGTTGAATTGGCATACGAGGCATACATGGGTTCTTTGACATGTTGACGATGGGGATGATGTGTTAGTGAGCTCATCTTTAGAAGTATATTCCTTATTGTGAAGTTTGGCCAACACCCTATTTGAAGAATTGATATTATGGGACTATTTTCTAGTATGCACATAGATGTTTGCTGGAATGCTTGTGAGTAATTAGCTTGCTAATATATGCTCATATTGAGACATGTTCTATCTTTATGTAATAACTGTGGTCCAATGCATCTTCATAAGATGTCTGAAGCCAGATGAAAAGAAATGCTCTAATGCTTCAAATATTAGGAGCTACCTGCAAAAATAAGATATAGGAAGCTAGTATATATGAGCCCAAATGTGTGTTGCTTTAGTATGCAGTTTAAGATTAAGACCGGAGTCAACTATGCTAAATTACACTAGGTTAACACATCGTGTGATTTTAATTAGGCGACTGATAGAGATGGGTTTTTATAAGACCATTGAGGAACAGTGTTTTTCCAGAATGAACCGTCCATATGATTTTCAACTCAAGTTAAAATAGTTGTAGCCTTGTAAGTTGTAGGTGTAGACCTGTAGTGCAAAGAATTGCGATAAGCAGATTGGGGCGTGATAGACACACCCGAGTTCAGTGCCGAAAGCCATGCACCTGGTCCGACGTACGAGCGTGGCGCGCGCCCGTTGGTCTCGGCAAGAACCATGGCGCCCCGACCACGTCGCGGCCATGCCCCTCGTCCTCCTTATAAACCATCGCCACTTCTCTGCCCCCATCCTCTGATCTGCTTCTCTCATCTCTGACACGGCAAATTTAACTAGCTCTCGACCGGCAACGGCAAAGCCAGAGATCCGCCGCCGTTGAACCCCAAGGGGGAGAGGACGAAATGGCGCTGTCCACGGTGAATACGAACGCCGCCGAGTCCCATCTGCACTGCTCCACCTTCGCGTTGCGCTACGTGCGCACCGCACTCCCGAGGTATATCCTGCTCCTTATTGGCCCGCCGGCCGCTTGATTGATTTGCGGCCGGAGTCTCTGGTTTTCTCAGCTGAATATCCGGAGTGGGACTGTGCGTGCCGTCGTCACGCAGGTTCAAGATGTCGGAGCAGTCGATCCCCAAGGAGGCGGCGTACCAGATCATCAACGACGAACTGATGCTGGACGGGAACCCGCGGCTGAACCTGGCGTCGTTCGTGACCATGTGGATGGAGCCCGAGTGTGACAAACTCATCCAGTCCTCCATCAACAAGAACTATGTCGACATGGATGAGTACCCCGTCACCACCGAGCTCCAGAACCGGTGCGTGAACATGATCGCGCACCTCTTCAACGCGTCGATCGGCGACGATGAGACGGCGGTTGGGGTAGGGACCGTCGGCTCCTTGGAGGCCATCATGCTGGCCGGGCTGGCGTTCAAGAGGAAGTGGCAGAACAAGATGAAGGCGGCGGGGAAGCCCTACGACAAGCCCAACATCGTCACCGGTGCCAACGTCCAGGTACATTGCCTGCATCGTCTATCGTCCATGCATCAATGCATGAGCTGCTGGCCATGCCAAACTAAACCAAATGAATGATTTCTGGGCTGGCACGCCGTGCCCTTGCAGGTGTGCTGGGAGAAATTCGCCAGGTACTTCAAGGTGGAGCTCAAAGAAGGGTACTACGTGATGGACCCCGAGAAGGCCGCGGAGATGGTGGACGAGAACACCATCTGCGTCGCCGCCATCCTCGGCTCCACGCTCAACGGCGAGTTCGAGGACATCAAGATGCTCAACGACCTGCTCACGGCCAAGAACGCCGAGACAGGGTGCGCGCGCCGATCGAGGCCGATCGTCTCATTTTCAACCAAAATGCAGGTTCGGGCCTAAACTGATCTCGACCGGCTTGGTTATTTTCTGCCAGGTGGGACACCCCGATCCACGTGGACGCGGCGAGCGGCGGCTTCATCGCGCCCTTCATCTACCCGGAGCTGGAGTGGGACTTCCGGCTGCCGCTGGTGAAGAGCATCAACGTCAGCGGCCACAAGTACGGCCTCGTCTACGCCGGCGTCGGCTGGGTGATCTGGAGGAGCAAGGAGGACCTCCCCGACGAGCTCATCTTCCACATCAACTACCTCGGCGCCGACCAGCCAACCTTCACGCCCAACTTCTCCAAAGGCACGGTTACTTTCGTTTGAATTTGTTTTCAGATCGACTTTCACTGAGCAACAGTGACAGTGAGTTCATCTTCTGCCTGCTCTCTTTATTGGACAGGTTCGAGCCAGATTATCGCGCAGTATTACCAGCTCATCCGCCTCGGATTTGAGGTAACCGCAACATCTAGCTTGCATTATGCTACTGACGACATACATTCGCTGGGCTTGTAACTGATGACGCCGTTTCGATCGGCACCACGGTCTGGCACTGGGCAGGGCTACAAGACGACGTGATGCAGAACTGCCGCGACAACGCGACGGTGCTCCGCGAGGGCATCGAGAAGATGGGCTACTTCGACGTGGTGTCCAAGGACTCGGGCGTGCCGCTGGTGGCCTTCTCCCTCAAGGACTCCTCCAAGTACACGGTGTTCGAGGTGGCCGAGAGCCTCCGGCGGTTCGGCTGGATCGTGCCGGCCTACACCATGCCCGCCGACGCCGAGCACGTGGCCGTGATGCGCGTCGTCATCCGCGAGGACTTCAGCCGCGGCCTCGCCGAGCGGCTCATCGCCGACCTGGGCAAGACCATGGCCGACATGGACGCGCACGCCGGCAAGAAGGCGCCGGAGCAGCCCAAGAAGTCGGTGCACGACATCGAGAAGGAGGTCACCACCTTCTGGCGGGGCTGGTCGCCAATAACAAGAAGAAGAGCAGCATGGTGTGCTTATAGATGGGCGGCAGATGGGCGCTGCGGCCTGCGGGAGGAATAACATTCCTGTTGCGAGATGATGTTCTCACATCACGAGCTCAGTTCTTCTTATCTTTTTTTTGGTTGACGTCTGCGTTGAGAGATTCGATTTGAGCTCCCATTTTGTCTGTTTCGATTTGTGCGCGGTTGTTCGCGCCAATTTGATGAGAAAACTTAATCCGAAGGATGTAGGCATATATATACACACATTTCAAGTTGAGGTACAGTAATGAACATGGGTTTCAGATCAGTAACCAACGATGTGGTCATGTGGACTCTGATCACATTCTGGTTGCTCGGAAGTTCAAGAAAATAAATTGGTGGCTTGCCATCAAAGTGAGGAAAAATCCCACAATCTTGATCACAGACTAGCCGGATGTTATATACTTACATTTCATCTACGAGTATGTTTAGATGGCGTTGCTGCAGGCCAGCCTCTACGTCCACCATTTGTTCGATGAAATGCCCATCGTTGCATTTGTGTTCCTAGTCGCCTCCAAACATGTCCAGCCTTTACCAGTTGCAGTGATTGCCTTTTCAAACATGCATTCATCAACTTCATTGAACGCTCGTCTGGTGTCTGAAGAAATGCCAAGCAGGTACACCACCACCGTTCACTCTATTTCCTCGATGAGTTCTCTTCTGTTCTATGGCTATGGTGCTATCAACATCCGTGAGGACCGTAAGGTGTTTCGGGAAATGATCGGTCCCAATCCAGTGGTGCTAGAGTTATTACTTGCAGTTAACAAACCACAATGGGCACCTCCTTGGTTGGACTGCAACACTATGCTTGCGGACTCCGCTCTGCTCTATTTTGGTTTCTGGTCACCGTTCTGTCTGGTTGGTTTGCTCTGCAGTACAGGGCACCATGCCCAGCACCTAATCAGCTTTGAGACGTTGAGTGATGGTGTTCACCTTCAGCCAACATCTTGGCCATCCTTTACTTGTTTGAGAGAACATACCATTCTCATCAGTTTTGAGTTGTTCAATGCATAAATCTTTGATGGGACGCAAGCGCCTAGCGCGTCGGGCTCGCGCACCAGCAATGGGCCCGCGCCACCCTAGATGACGTCGCCCGCGCTGCCCCGGACATCGTCCACGCCGCCGGCCGCTTCTCATGCGTATCACATGTGCAACCCTGATATATTTTTGAAACATACAGATACATCAGTTCCAACATACAAAGCAAGACAGATGAAACACTTAAAACAAGTGTCTGAAACACTTTGCGAAAAACGCTGAAACACATTTGAAAACTATTGCAAACATATGCAACATCTAGATGAAACACTTGCAAACATACATATGAAACACCTGAAAATACTTGAAACATATGCTTGTAACATGCATGTATATGCAACATCCCGATATACTTTGCAATATCCAAATAAAACACTTGCAACATCCGTCTGAGACGGATGAAACATACAATTGAAATATACGTGTATAGCCATTACAACATGTGCAGTATCCGATATACTTTTGCAACATCTATATGAAACACTTGAAACATACATCTGAAATAACTAAAAAATATTTGAAACATAGGGTTGCAACATGTTTTGAAAACGCCTGAAAACATTTGAAAAACACAGCATTGCCGGCGACCACGGCCTACCTGGTGGGAAACTACGGTGGTGCAGGCCTCCCCTCCCTGTCAAAGACACAAGGTGGATGGGGGCACAGGCGCAGGCCTCCCTACCTTCCCTTCCGCGACGGGCGAGGTGGATGTGGGCGCGGCACTAGATGGTGTTGCGACGCAGGCGCGCGGAGCAGCGAGGGAAGGGGCCGTGGTGCCTCGCGGGAAGGAGCAACGCGGGAAGGCCCGGCCAGAGGGATGTCGGAGGAGGCGCTTCATGCTAGGTAGGGAGCGGGGAAGAGAGAGCGCCCTCTGTGGGACCTTGCGGCGGTAGGGGCAGCCGGAGGTGCGGTGCGCTGAGAGGCTTGGAGCAGCTGAGAAGGAGACCACAATCCAAGTGAGGAGTTTTTTTTTTAAGATTTAGAGATTGGTCCACTGACTAGAGGGAGCCACCACAATCCAAGTGAGGAGTTTTTTTAAGATTTAGAGACTGGTCCGCTGACTAGAGGGAGCCGCGTCCGTCGCACGCTCGTGGCTGAGCGTTTTCAATCTTTGATGGGTCCTCAGTTGTGAACCCAGGGACCATTGGAAGCTTTGGTACACGTTACTTCCAGGTGCTGTACATGCTATGTTTAGCGTGTTGTTTTTGCTTAATATAATATACAGATGAAAGTGCTAAAGTCACAGTAACTACAAGAACAAGAATGCAGTTTCTATATCAGTACCCTGAGTACCTATCAAGTTAGTGTGAGTCTTCTGTCTTCACCCGTGGACAGTAAGAAGGTGTTATTGGCGGAACCAGGGGTGGCCAGCAGGGGCCACGGCAAACCCCCCCCCCACCCCCCCCCACACACACTCTGCAAATTTGTTAACCCCATTTAGATTTGTTATCCATCCCAAATTGTAAATTTAGACTCTTATTCAAAAAAAAAATTATGCAAATATAGTCAAATTTAAGTCATTCTTGAAGAATTTTTATTAATAAACCAAACCACGACGAAAAAAGTGATATTTTACACAAATTTTTGAATAAGACGAGTGGTCAAACTTAGTGTCAAAAAAACCAAACGTCTTACCATTTGGGATGGATCGACTACTAAGCAACACGGCGAACCAAGAGTCCAAGACTAGCACGTGTGCAGCGGCCTGCAGCAACAGCCAGAGAAAAAACGCAGCCGATCTCTGTTGTCTTAGGCCATCCGCAGTGTGGTAATAAAGCCAGAAAATATGTGGGACTAGATACAGCAAATAGAGCATCACTCAAGTAAGCAGCAGTGTGTAAAATAGATGGAACCGGTGCTACTTAGTACGTGGGGCCCACAACTCTAATAAAATATTCAGTCTTTCCGACCATCTGCACTTGCGCGTCTTCCAAGCTCAACTGCCACCCATTGCTACAGTAGCTTTATAATTTTTCAAGAAGTTGGAACCGGAGAAGAACGTTCACCGCTCCACCATTTTCTAGAGTCGCTCAGAGTTGGAATCACCCCCTCACAGTATGGTGGGAGCGGTGCTTATTTTTCTCTCTCCTTTTGAGGCAACACTTAGCCCCGTTTAGTTCCCTCTAAAAGTCAAAAAATTTTACGCAGTAAGTGTCATATCGAATTTTGCGGCACATGCATAGAGTACTAAATGTAGACGAAAAAAAAACTAATTACACAGTTAGGTGAGAAATCGCGAGACGAAACTTTCGAACATAATTAATCCATAATTAGACATTAATTACCAAATACAAACAAAAGTGCTATTCCAAACGCGCCCTTAGGCGACACGCTGTGGAAGGCCTTACTGCCTCCTGCAGAGTCTGACTTCGGAATTTTTACATCATGTCACTTCACACATATAAAGAAGGGCCTTAGTTACTGTCGTGGGCCGTCTGAACTTGATTCGGATTCAAGAAGGGCCTTGCAACCACAAGGCAGCGAGGCCCAATTCACGATCGCGGGCCAATCGATAAGGGCAAACATGTAAATTCACCGTTGCTAGGGCTTGAAGCCCCCTCGTCCCCTCCTGCTGCCGCTCTATATAACCGCGCCCCTGACTCAATAACACCACGACCACGCCGCCGCCGACGCAATGTTGGTTTTCCTCCGTCTGCTTCAGATTTCTCGTTGCTACTCTTATTTTCTATCTCTACTGTTGTTTCATTCATTGGAGCTTTTGTTCTGCGTTGGACGATGATGATTTGCTCATATATACCATCAAACTCTGAACAATCAAACGCTGTGTTGATTGCACAAAGCTTCCGTGAGTCTGATGCGATCTTCTGCCTCCAATCCTCCTCCCATCTGGTTTCAGTTTTTCGTTTGTTTGTTTTCTTCAATTTTCGTTTGTTTGTTTTCTGAATAAATTTGTTTCCGAGGCAATAAATTAGAGTCTCTGATGCGCTTCTTTCAATAGCGTTTTCAGCGCTGTACGTTGCCGAGAGTGATTGGGCTAAGATTCTGGCACGAGTCGTCCTCTGTATGCCTTGTGCATTCTACTTGCCCTTACAGTTCTTTGATGCGCCAGATTTCTCCCCCTTTCCTGTTGTTCAATGCCAGTTCTTTGATCCGCTGGATTTCCCCCTTTCCTGTCGTTCAATACTGGTTGAATATTTTTGAGAGATTTATTTGTTTTTTTGTCCTTCCGCACAATGGCTTCCGTACTTTTGCTGCTCAGGCCAACATTTACACAGATAGTGTACTCAACGAAAGTGAATTAATCAATGACTAAACG